CAACAGAAGAGAAAGACCTCCCATTCTAACACATACTTCTCCCATATAACTATAGGTACAAGTCGAGCTCTGCTTAAGATAGGGCCTATTTTCTGCGCTGCAAAAGCTAATCGGTTGGCAGTTCTTTTCCTGACCCTAAAGGCTAAAGAAAAATTTCCCCGAGAAAAAATTTTCCCTGTCGCTTTCCTAGGGCAAAATGGGGTGCGGAAAAAAGTAAATAAAATGAAAAGAAGTTTATCCCGGAGAGATAACTTTGGAGAAGGGAATTCCGAAACCAAGTCGCATTGGAGGAACACTGCTACGTTCGGGATTGAAGACCGTAGCAAGGTGGAGACATTCCACGCGGGTCATCTGGCACTGTTGGTCTGTCCGGGGAGACGAGCCTCGTCAAGTCGCGAGGTGAGGCGATGTCGGTCGCATATGTTGTGGCGTTAGCTGCTTGAGCTCTGCTGCTGAGGGCAGGCTCAGTCGACTTGGTGAGTGGCCGTCTTCCGGACAGCAAGTGTACGTATTAGCCAGCGTGGCTGGATGCATGCTATATTGGGGACGCTTGGTTGCGGATTAGTCTCGCCAAGGAAGTAGGGTTTTTCGCCGTAAAGGGAAGAACGCGGCAGACGGAAACACAAGGCTTTGGGGTGTCTTCGCTTATAGAAGCTTTTCACTGTATAACAGAGGCGAGGGGTGGCGTGACGTAGGAAGGTTACGTGGGCCTCGCCTCTATAGCAGCAGTGTACGAGAGCAAGTATGGCAGGTTGGAGTAGTGGGAGAACCTCGTGCCGTGTGCATCAAAAGTTGGGCGCAAGAGGTGGCATATGCGGAGGCCAGGCTCGCGAGGCTGGAGTCATTAGTTTGAACGAGCTGGCGGACTTATGTCCTTGGGTGACTGGCGGGTCACGGGGAGCGATGCTTGGTGTGGTGCTCCGAGGTGATGAGTGGTTGAGTGGCCACGATTCCACGCCGATTCTATCTGGATATAGATCTGCTCGCTGGCCGATCGAGGCGAAACAGCCGTGGGTGCGGCCAGAAGTAGGGGGGTTGACGGACTTTTGGGTGTCCAGCGGTGACATCCGTGTCACGGAAGACTAGGCCTTTTGTGGCCTTCAAAAAGTAGGAGTGCGAGATGCACAACAAAACAATCTTCAATGGGTTTTTTG